AAAGGAGATCCAATTCTTTAAGCATAAATACTAAAGTTAATAAGGGAAAACTAAAAGTTGTTACCCGGAATACCTGATGGCCCTAGGGTGTCGGTTTCAAGAAAAGTTGATTTGCTACTAGAACTGCAAGAAAGGGATTATGATTATTTTAGACCCAGGTCTAATTCAAATTGTTCCACAAGAAAATTATTTGTCGTCTGCAGAAAGCCAGAATAAAATTAAGTCAAGTACTTCCATGGATGCTTTAGGTATTCCCGATAACCTTAATTGCAACGTTGAAGAAGTTTAAACTACGAGTTGAATACTGGAGATTAGATTTTAATTTTTCTGATCGACATAAAAGTTATGTATCTTATTTTATGCATTTGTAAAATAATATTGCTTTAATGTGTACATAGGTTTAAGTGTAAATATTTAATAAAAATGAAGTAAATTTATTATTATTTTTTAGTTCACAATTCCCAATGAATGCTTAAATATATATAAATATATATAAATATATATAAATATATATAAATATATATAAATATATATAAATATATATATATATATATTGTGACACTAACTTTATTAAAAAAATAAAAATATAGCGCACTTACCTCGGCAACTCTTATTTGTCGACGCTAGGTCGGGATTCAGGTAAGTATGAACGAAAATCTTGAGTCAAGGGCGCCAGTTGCGACAAACTCAACAGGAAGTCGGGATAAAAATTTCACAATAACACTAGTTTGCAATTTAATTACAATTTAATTAATAAACTTAACCAAAAATTAAAACATTTGTCGCACTGTGCGATGCATACCGCGCGATGCCTACAGCGCCTGCGTTAGAAGCAACAGCGCATGGCTGGGAATTTCGCAGCGAGAGTTGACAGAACCAAAACAACATAAATAAACGTTTGTTTTACAAAATTCTAACTAAATTAAGGCCCTAACTATTTTAAAATCTTAATCAAATGTTCTTTACACTAGGTAAGTACTCCTTACTTTTAATAATAGGTTACAAACTATGTTTTTTACAGATTAAAGTTAATGGCTTACTTGAGGGTAGTTTCTAACTGAAACCTTACAAATCCGGTAACCACAAGGCACAGAAACGATGGGATGTAAGTCCACAGCTGGCTGGTTACTATATTCCACTCCACAATCAGGTATTGTCGATAAGTCCTGGCTATCCAATCAACTTATTTTACATTATTTGTAGATCAATTGTAGCCTTTCAATGGAATCCAAGTTGTATCTAGGACTGGTGTCAATACAACAGTAAACTTGTCCTCACGAAACCAACCGATTCCCAAAAATGTTCACCAAGGAGGCAAATCCAACCAAAAAAAAGGCCTAATTACGAAAAACACAAGAAATTGTAGGAAAATATTCCAATTGTAAGGTACAGCAGAACTTACCCACAAGATTTGAGCCTTTTTATACAAATTTAAACAATTGATTACTAAAATATCTTAGATTTTGGGCAGTTAATTCACCTTAAGTGTGCCACAAAATCAGATTCACAAATGGCTGACCATATTAGTAAATTTTAGTTTGTTCAGTGGCAGACTGCTTTGTTATACAGTATGTACCGTGAAAAGTTACAATAGCAATTTAAACTTAAATATAAATTATACCTAATTACAATTAAATCTTAACTAAAACACAAAGATTTATTTAGTTACCTATACACATTATACCCTTACTTAGAAAATAAAGCCCAAACACAGGAATTGACTGACTTTCATTTATTTACCAAACTAAATTAAATTCTTAAAAAAACAGACTGTTACATTCCCTTTCTTCCCATTAAAAGAAAATGTAAAGGCATTTCATTTTCTTAAAATTATAATAACTTAATCCCAAAAATAAAAATGTTTCAAAACGCAATGCTCAAGATAATTCTATTTCAAAAAACACACAACTTACTGGTTGCAAGAAATTTAATCCTTCTAATTACCAAGTCAGGTAAGTAAATTAATTAATCAAATTAATTATAAATGTCAAACGTGTCAATTACATTTAAACTTTTGGTAAAACTACCAATTAATCAAAATAAATGAACTAACGTCGCTAATCGGGTGGTTTGTCTCTTACGAATTCTTACGTACTGGGGTTTCTCTCGTCACGTTCGGGGTTAAATTTGTCTCAATTCGGGTTTCTGCAGAATTCTTTGTCAAAATAGGGAAAAAACAGCACAACATTAAGAAAAAAAACACTCATACAACTTTCGCATCACATTCAATCTTACTTTCACACTTTAATCAAAATTACTTATTCCTCGTCAGTATTTACGGACTCATCAGATTCGGCTGAATCATCCAGATTAATGTCAAGATAGGGTTTAAGATCTTTTGTATGCCACCTGCCCACATCGTGACCATGCTCATCAGACAAACGATATATTAACGGAGAAACAACTTCCGTTATCGAACACAAAATCCATGTCTGTAAGGTTCTGATACTAATGTCCAATTGTGACTTTTCAGTTTCAAAATTAAGATTAGAAATATCATACCTAGTAGTAGGTTTATTTGCATCCGTTTTAAAACAAATACTTAAGCATTTTGTCTTGGTACTAATATCAACATTATTACAAGCTAAATCTCTTATATTAAGTTCGTAATCTATTTCTGATTCACTCAGGTAAGAAGGGTCTATAACGTACAGGTTCTCCATAATCAATTATAATTATATAATAATTATTTAAAAACAAATAAAAATTAAAAATTGGATATACCACCTATTATTTTAAACTTTAAAACTACCCAAGTAATTGTCCCCTACTTAAGCAAGGCGAACTTTTGTTATTGTGAAAACTAGGAAAGGAGAAAAGGAAACAGGAAAAGGTACTCAAGATTTTCTGGGCCCCACGTTGCACGGTGCCAATTTTGTGACACTAACTTTATTAAAAAAATAAAAATATAGCGCACTTACCTCGGCAACTCTTATTTGTCGACGCTAGGTCGGGATTCAGGTAAGTATGAACGAAAATCTTGAGTCAAGGGCGCCAGTTGCGACAAACTCAACAGGAAGTCGGGATAAAAATTTCACAATAACACTAGTTTGCAATTTAATTACAATTTAATTAATAAACTTAACCAAAAATTAAAACATTTGTCGCACTGTGCGATGCATACCGCGCGATGCCTACAGCGCCTGCGTTAGAAGCAACAGCGCATGGCTGGGAATTTCGCAGCGAGAGTTGACAGAACCAAAACAACATAAATAAACGTTTGTTTTACAAAATTCTAACTAAATTAAGGCCCTAACTATTTTAAAATCTTAATCAAATGTTCTTTACACTAGGTAAGTACTCCTTACTTTTAATAATAGGTTACAAACTATGTTTTTTACAGATTAAAGTTAATGGCTTACTTGAGGGTAGTTTCTAACTGAAACCTTACAAATCCGGTAACCACAAGGCACAGAAACGATGGGATGTAAGTCCACAGCTGGCTGGTTACTATATTCCACTCCACAATCAGGTATTGTCGATAAGTCCTGGCTATCCAATCAACTTATTTTACATTATTTGTAGATCAATTGTAGCCTTTCAATGGAATCCAAGTTGTATCTAGGACTGGTGTCAATACAACAGTAAACTTGTCCTCACGAAACCAACCGATTCCCAAAAATGTTCACCAAGGAGGCAAATCCAACCAAAAAAAAGGCCTAATTACGAAAAACACAAGAAATTGTAGGAAAATATTCCAATTGTAAGGTACAGCAGAACTTACCCACAAGATTTGAGCCTTTTTATACAAATTTAAACAATTGATTACTAAAATATCTTAGATTTTGGGCAGTTAATTCACCTTAAGTGTGCCACAAAATCAGATTCACAAATGGCTGACCATATTAGTAAATTTTAGTTTGTTCAGTGGCAGACTGCTTTGTTATACAGTATGTACCGTGAAAAGTTACAATAGCAATTTAAACTTAAATATAAATTATACCTAATTACAATTAAATCTTAACTAAAACACAAAGATTTATTTAGTTACCTATACACATTATACCCTTACTTAGAAAATAAAGCCCAAACACAGGAATTGACTGACTTTCATTTATTTACCAAACTAAATTAAATTCTTAAAAAAACAGACTGTTACAATATATATATATATATATATATATATATATATATATATATATATATATATATATATGCGTTTAGTACTTATACACCTCCGAATGCTATATGTTTAGGCCGCCTCCGCCTCCGTTTTGTTTGTTTTTCAACTTGGTTGGCCCAATAGTGGTGCCCTGTAACGTTTGGCAAATTTTTGTGTGGAGGTATAAACGACCTATATACATATACATTTATACAGCATAGTTCAAGCAATTTCCACCAGGTGCGCTGCTATTTTGTACGCTTGATATATGTAGGTACTTATCGCCTCCATACATTTAAAGTACGAGTTTGCCTCATATTATTGATAAACTAATGGCAACAGCGCTAGAGGCGATGACGATACAAGCACATTTTAGGTTTATATTTCTTCTTGAGCGTAAGAATTGATTCTAAGATCATTATAAAAAATATCATAACAACGACGCCAATTAAAGTAGGTACCAACAGTAACTTATATTGCATATTTTTTAAATTCTTGACTTACAATCGGTTTTCTTAAATTTAATTTAGATAATGTTTTAACCGTAAGTAAAATTAATATTCGACTATTAAAAGTTTGCAGAACATATTTTCAGTTTTAATTTAGAATAAAAAGTGCCTGCTACTGAACAGAACGAAAAATAACAAGTACTTTTGAGTTGGTAATAAGAAGGAAAAAAATCTAATTTTAACTTGCTTTCTAGCTAATTTTATGTGATGGTACAAAGTAAACTATTCATTGAATAAAAAAATTTATTGATATAGTTTAATGAAAGCAAATATAATTAAAGATTAACGGAAAAGAAACTATTTAATTACATTAAAATAGTACATAGCATTAAAAAAAGGGCAAACATTTAAAAATTTAGCTTTGAATTTAAAAGTTTTTGTAAGCACAACTATTTTCCCTGCGTGTACACGTTATACACGAAGGTCTTAACACGGACCCAATCTAGATTGCCTAGTACGTCTTTGTGCTCATTAATAAACGTTTTACACTCTTCCTTCTTTGGAGCTTTTTTGTTTTTTATATGTCCTTTAAAATGTAAAGTGACCAGTTTCTTTTGCTGAGCCGTCCACCTAGTTCTATTACTTTTAATTTTTTGTCTTTTAACTGTGCTATTATCATCATTAATATTTGAATTTAAAATTTGTGTACTTGATACTAAAGGGTTTTCCTTATTTTCAGATTCCTCATCATATTCTACTAATACGTTGTTTGGGTCAATATCAATTTCTGCCAGTTCCTTGTTTCTATATTCAGTCCCTTTTCCTTGGTCAAATAAATTTAACAACTTTGCAATTTTAGCTGTTTGATAGGCATCTTGAGTTATTTCATAAAATTCTTGATGCGTTTTTTCAGTATGTCCCATAAATTTCGAAAATTGAGAGTAGTCGCTTTTATCCAAATTTATGAGTTGCATTAGAGTTGCAATTTGTTTTCGCAATCGGTTTGACGTCATTGCTTCTGGATTTTCTATTTTAGAGGATTTTGCGAAGTTTTTTAAAACAACATCCCCTCTAACCCAATGATTTACTACTCCGGGGTAAGCAAACAAATATCCATTGCTCTTTGGTACAATATCCCTATTGTTTCTTATTTCAAGTAATAAGCTTATGTATTCTTGCACATTTGGTGAGAATAAAATTACAATAGCTCTGCTACCTTTTCCACCGGCTACTACACGTTCATAGTTTGAAGTCATTGTCCTTTCCGATTCCGTAAGCTGCTCCATAAATTCAGTTTGGTTATTAGTTGTAAAAGTCATCAGGTAAGATTTACATACTGATTTACATACTGAACATCGCCAATTCTTCGGCGATTGAACAAAATTGTAAGAGCTAATGAAGCATCAACCAGTTTTTTAAAGGCTTTTACATTATTATTGTCCTGTTTAAGCAAAGCTGCGTTTTTATTAGCAGTTTCTAAAATATGATCCCTTAATTTAATTACATCTTTAGTTATCGGCAACATAACTGGTTTATTCCATTTCTTTTCAGCCAAATCTTTTAGTGCCAGGGAAGATACCTCGTTACTCCACTGACTCTGAACCAAAAATCTAAATCTCTTTATTTCTTTTAATTTATCTTCTACGTTACCGACTAAAAATTCTGGAGACTTTTTAAGTAACAAATTCGTGGTTAGTTCACATATTTGCTGTAGAGTAGTTCCTATGTGCAAAGCCAAACTCGGAGCTTTATAATCTTTCTTTTCTTCATCATATCCGCTTATGGCTTTTGCGCATAAAACAACATCGTCAAAATTTATAGGATTAAGCATTTCAAAAAAGGCGAATTTTGGTTTTCCAATTCGCCTGCGCATTTCGATTAATAATCTGGAGCATTCCCGCATCTTATTAGAGCAGGCGCTTGCAATCTGGGCTCGTTTATGTTTTTTTAAATAGTAGCTACCGAAATGTCGAATTAATGGATCCGTTCTTGCTAGAAAACAAATTTTATCCGATGCCATTTTACTGAACACCTCGTTCTTTACTCTTAGAGTTGCATTTACGTTCGCATATTCACTAGCACACGCTACTAACGTTTGTGAAGCTGCCCGGTGCTGCACATTTTGACCGGTTTCATTTATTGGCTTAACAATGCATTTTTGGTAATGTCTTCTTAGATATTTTACAGCAATTATGCGCTTACAATGGGCACATGGTAATTTATTTGAATTAAGAACATCCTCTTTTTGCACAAAATCTTTAAAGTTTTCTTCATATCGCAATAATGCTAAAATATTTCTTCTCATCTGTCTACCTTCTTTGGTGCTTTTCGGAAAGTTTAAATAATCTCTTACTTTTTTTTCTTCTTTATGATGCCTGCATAGATGCCGCTCAAAATTCGTAACACTGATTTGACAAAATTTGCATACAGTTCTTTTCTTTTTCTGTTTATTTTTAGCATTGTCAATGTAATTATCATACAATTTATTTCGAAATGCGGTTTTTGCAGATTCTTCTTCTAGGGATAATTCTGGATTATTTGATTCAGTAGTACTTTGACCATTTTTAGATGTATTTTGATTCTGTTTATTAGCAGTTATTTCATTTATATTGTTAATTTGTAAAACATCATCAGGCAAGTTTTCACTCAATGTAATTGCTGTTGAATAATCTATGTCGTCACTCTCTGCAACAATTTTAGAAGGATTATCTTCTAAACTTTCTTGATCTGATTCAATATACTGTCTCATAATAGTAATAGGTTGAATATATGAGATAACGGAAGATGTCCTTGATTCAAAATCTGAGGAAATATTGGTATCATTATGTGATTTTTCTTTAGAAAAACTATCCTGCGAATCAGGCAGTTCTACATTACTTAGTGTCACGTATTCTAAATCATTATAACTATTCTCCTTTAAATTTGTGTCGTCCCGGTCAGTTTCATGAAAACTCTCAGCACGTAACCAATCTAGTGTCCTTTCCTGATTTGCATGTTCTGGTAATTCTGGTCGATAGGTTGGGTCGGAATCCGTAGAAGCGCTCAAAATGGAAGAGTCTATAAATAAAATGTTTTTAAAAAAACTATCGTGGAAAATGACTGGATTAGAAGACAAAAGCAAGAAAAGCCATATGGAAACATTAGAACAATTTTTTTTATACCGAGTGTCGTTTTTCGCCCAGAGCTGCAGTGTCCTTAATATAAATCGTAGTATCAAACAAAATTATTGTATTACATTTAAAAAATTTTAGGACCTACTCGTTTTCTTTGGCATTATTGTCTTACAGTTTTAATAAGTGGTTCAAGATTATTATTTTAATGTTAAAAGCGACTCTTTCCACAATTAAAAAACATACGTTGCAGATAAACCTAAATAAATATAGGCGCTAATTTAAAAACAGAAAGGTCATTCATTTGGTTCACTTGTTCCCTACATCTACAGCTATAGCTTGGGCCGGAAAACGTTAGACTCCCGGTATAAGCTTAAATATGCTTTATAAATATATTTTATTAAGAACAAAATTAAGCTTACAACCTCTACCATTGGGAAGGGGTTTCCAGCAAACCAAATCATATCAAAGGGATATAACATTTACATACACATTTTTCCTTACTATGTAGCATAAGTTACCTATATGTAAAGGATATGCCCGCCTCAAGAAGCCATTTTGATTATGTAACTGTGATATAACAGCATCATATCATATATACTATAGTTAAAAACGTGATTAAACAATTATATTTTATTTACATATATGTTATATTCTATTTATGTAATATTTACTTATTATTTATGTAATAATACATTATCTCACTAGTATTAAAAATTCATTAGGTATCATTTGGTATTATGATGGCCACTTTAAAATTTTGTATATTTCTTGTTAAAAAAATGTATGCAAAATTTTACAACTGACAAAGCATTAAGTAGATGAACAAGACGTTTATGGAAATATAGTGCTCACTTGCATTGCAAATTAAAAAAAAACAATTTAAAAGTTGCCATAATACCAAGTTAGGGCTAAAAAAATTTCAATTTCAGTGAGAACTTAATTTACATATGTAAATGAATAGTTCTGGAAGGAATTTAAAAAAATAAAACAAATTTGTTTAAATCATTTCTTAAAAAATCAAGTAAAAAAACAGCTTAAAACTTATATTGCAATATAAAAAAAATCATATTCATTTTAATAATAACTTATTATTAATAAAACAACAAACAAAAATTTTTTAATACTTTTAAAAAAGAAATTGTTAACTTAAAATAAATTTAGGTACTTCGCACACAAAGCTAAAAAAATATATGGTGGATAAATATATATCTTTATCTACTCCCACATTGACGAGCTGTGACGCTTTATTATAAATTTGGAAAAGTAAGGTTAAATCCGGGAGAAAAATGTCGAAATTTAACAAATTAAATTTGCTTTTAATTCTTTTTTGTGTCCGTCGTAGAAAAAGTATAGTATGCAACCCGTTTATAAACTTCTCTAGGCATAAGTTTTTATTAAACAATCGCTGGAAAGCTTCGCTCGTGTCTAATTAAACTCGTAACTAAAATGGCTTTTATAAAACTTGATACATAATAATTCACTAAAAAACAAAAATATCGCATATTTTCTGTTATTACCATTACCTAAAAATAATTTTAATTGATAGACCATCATTGATGGTATTCATGTAGTAGGCGGATGTGTTCAGTGACTAAAATATTTTGACGTTTAATTTATAAATGTATTCTATAACCGTTCGTGCATTTTAGTCCAAAATAAAATTTAATTAATTAACTAATTAATTTAATAATTTAAGTCACTATAATTCTTTAATTATGTAAGGATTTTAATGTATAAAATACACGAAAAGTTAAAGACGCCATTTATAAATTAGAAGCAAAAAGGTACAAGTGCAAAAAAGAGAAGTGGAGTTATTAAACAAATTGTTTGCTACATACAAAAATCTGAATACTTTTTTCAATTAATCATTAATTATTTTCATGCTAAAATCCAATTGTACCATTTTGCTTCTTACCCCTTGATATATATATTTTATAATTTAATTTACTTCAATAATTACAATTATTTTCAAGTAATGGTGAAAAAAAATATGCAATATTTTTGTCAGTGAGTGTACTATTATCCAGCATATATTTTTTGAAAATGTTTTAAATAAAACAATCTCGTAAACATTAAATATACATTTTTTTGGATACCGCTCTGTTAAATTAAATTATGACATTTAATTCATAGAAAAAAAATAACATTAAGCTTAAGGTAAAAAATACTATTAAGCAATTTATTTAAACTTATCTACTAGATTAATTTTAAACAATTTTACCTGTAAAATTTTTATTAGACTCATTCCCAAGTTTACCTTTACCTCCGGACGCATTTTATCTGGCTGCGGGATAGGGAAATATTTTTTCTTATTCTTATTCTTATATTATTATTTTTTTGTTTCATTTTATTATACAAATATAGCAAATCGACCACAAACACTTTCAAAACCAAATATACAGCACTTGACACCAACCTTTTAAACGCATTCGTCAATAAGATATACCTTCTACCTTATTTACATAAATATTATGTAATAAGAATATATAAATATCATAAAACATTACGATGTAACATTTACGTATCATTGTTTAATGTAGATATATATATATATAACATTGTTATATAAGTAACTACTATATTATAATGTTTTATCATTATTATGTAATAAAATAGGAAAAAACTATGTAGATACAATTTAATAAGGTTATATGGATACTATAAAACATTACCATATAGTATGTATGTATAATATGTATCATTGAAGCATTGTTTCAAAGTATATATAAGGGGTCTAATATCAAACACAGCAATCTTCAATATTTTTTGTTAGCAAATTCCATCATTTAATATAAATTATTTTTAAATTTTCGAGTAAATATGAGTCCAGTTGAATTGATTGAGCAAAAATATCATACCTTATAGTATTGCCCATATGTGATTTTAAAAGCAAAAATTTTAAAAAGCTGCTCCCAATAATTTATTTGTAAAAAATGTGATATATAGTGCCAAAGAGTTTTTAGATTTGTCCTTTTAGTAGTGTATTAGATAATAGTTTTGTATTTATATTTTTTAAATGTTTTGTACTAATATGTATTACTTAAACTTTTGTATCATTCTTTAAATTGTGTTTTATGACGTGCCTTGTAAACTTTGAAGGTAAATAAACTTATTCTTATTCTTATTACTAAATAGTATTTAGTAAATATAACTCTTTTTTTTCAGGGAAATACTTCAATATCGAATTTTTATGTAAATATTTCAAGAGGGAACATATTTATATAAATGTTATATATTTATATAATATTGTGTTTTATCACAATTATAAATAAATAATTATGTAACATGTAACAAAATAAACAACTAATATGTAAATGTTATATAAACAGTTTGATATGGTAATGTTCTTTGTTAGGGGCCTATATCATATGATACCATATGGCTATGTAAATGGCACAGATTGGTTTTCTGGGTTATTTACCAAATATAATAAGTACATACATACATTCTCTGAGTTACTATCAGAATAAGTTTTATTCTGTTTGGTTTTAAACGCCAACTCCAGTATTTTTTGCGCCCTTAAAAGAAAAACAGTTTTGAAAATGAATTTGAATTTGTAATTGTGAGTTATGGCAAGGTTCTAAACCTTGATTTCATCTGTAAGTAGAACATTTTTTAATGGCCGCCTAAAAAGAATCACTCTGTATGTCAAGGTCCTACACAGCAAATGGAAAAATATAGAAGTGTATTGGATGACGCCACGTTTGAATACAGTTTTCTAAACCCTCGCCACGGTATACAGTTGTATTCGTCAGTCGAGCGTTTCAATACTCTCCACAGTATAGAGGTCGTAATTTGACTTTTGAACTAGTATTAATATGAAAATTATTTAATGCTTGAAAAAAAACTATATACGACATGATTGTGATTTTTTTATTTTAATAATTAAGCTGTGTTGAATATTTTTCCTAAAGGAATAATTGCCAATGGGCCACAGATTATAAAGGTCGAGTTTCTACCTCTCTGTTGAATATAGAAAATCAAAATAATGTATCTTGTAAGACACCATTGAGTTTCACTTTTACTATGGTCGTGCATAGGTATAGGCGAAAAATATAAAAAAAGCACGATTCATTACAGTTATGATAAAACTTTAAGATTTAGTATAAAAACAGGTCATCCTATACACTTCTATATTTTTCCGTTTGCTGTGTAATGATAGTTTAATTAGAATTTTCATATTTTATTTTTTGGAGTGCGGTAGAGAAAAAAATTAAGGGAAGCTGTAAACTTGTACGATTCCTGACATGAACGCGCTTTCTAAGGAAATGAAACGGCCGCCAGAAGCCACTCAAAAGAGTAATTATTTACGAAATAATTGGGAAAACCCAGAGAAGCCCGTATTTTATAATTTTTGATTCTATTTTATATTTTGTGCATAAAAAGTAACGGTAGTTAAGTTACCAGTCAGTAATCGTCCTAACCTACAAACTTAAAAGTCCCAAATTCATACCGTTGAAGTAAATAATTCAAAAAATTAATTTAACTACAATACTTTTAAATACTGTTATAACTTACCGCAACTTGGCAGCCCTCTTCATGATGATTTATCCACAATTAAAGTTTATTATTGTACTTTGATGGTCTGAAATACAACCGTACTAACCACGATAAATGCTTATAAGAATTAAAATTTAAGATCAGGTGACAAAGCTTACAAAGCACAGGGTGGCAACGTTGGTGGAGGCGATCTCAACCGCTACATTTAGCACATTTATATACAATGAGTCGATTGCGTACTATTTTTATAAGGAGTTGTAATCGTACTAAATATATTTTTAATTTTGTATAAAATAGACAGTGGATTTTTTTACCCCTCCCACTTTGCCCTTAATTTGTGGCGTCTTGTCCTCCTGAAAGTCTTTTATATACTCGGAATATTTTACCCCTTCTAGTGGAGGTGTGGACGCCCCACATTTGTACGGAGGCAGATACGATACAAAT